TTTGCATAAATATCCCTTTTGAGCTCCTTGAGAGGCTTAGATGAGAGATTTTCCATTCATGAAGAGCTTTCTTTAGCCCTGGACTATCCAAAAATACGAACTGAATTTATTTTCAAGCTATCAGCKACTGCTGCTGCTGTGAGCAAGTTTAAATTAATGCATTAACAAAAGCTCCCTTTCTCTCTCCAAGGTCTGCACTGAGGATTAAGATCTGAATTCCAGGTTAGCCCTTAATGACACACAGATGCACCTTCCCTATAGCTCTGCATCCTGCCAGAGCAAGGCAGAAATAATGATCTTACCAGATCCAATATTAAAAAAAAAAATCAGATTAACCTTGAATTCTAGTTATAGAATTCRTCTGCAGGTAAAGTTATTTTTAATCTGTTCCAAGATAAAGGAATAAATTTATTTCTGCCTGTTAGAATTCTCATATATAGAGAGGAGTTTGATATGATAAATTGGTTTGGGGCTAAATCCACCTCTTGGGGTTTTTTCCTCAACAATGTGTGGGGACCATCCACTCCTGACCTTTAGGAAATATTGGGAAAAAAACATGTCTGGAGGCCCAGGCTCACCTGGTGGATGAACAGTGACAATCTCACTCCCAAATTCCTGCTCCCTTCCCCCATATGCAATAATAATAAAAAGGAATGATGATAGTACAGGACTCATTCCCCAGACAATAGCTAGGCAGGCTGTATATTGCTTTATGGCTGTTGACTTGATTTAAAATGCACTCTTAAAAATGAAAGAACAACTCCTTAAATTTGCAGTAAATGCATAGTTCCCCAGGCCTGATTTACTGGTTATGAGCCACCAAAAAACTGCAATTCCAATTTATGGTGCTGTTGACTGTGGCAGCAAAACCCTCGGCATCACTGGGAGCGCTGGTAATCATTGCAAACCTGATAATTTAACATTATCATCCATTTCAGGTTGGTTTGGGTTTTTTGCCATTCTGATAATTTAACACTGATCATCCATTTCAGGATGGTTTGGGTTTTTTGCCATTCTGATAATTTAACACTGATCATCCATTTCAGGTTGGTTTGGGTTTTGTTGGGGGTTTTGTTGGCTTTTTTTGCCATTCTGATAATTTAACACTGATCATCCATTTCAGCTTGGTTTGGGTTTTGTTGGGGGTTTTGTTGGGGTTTTTTGCCATTCTGATAATTTAACACTGATCATCCATTTCAGGTTGGTTTGGGTTTTGTCGGGGGATTTTTTATTGTTTTTTTGGGGGGAGAAAACTGAGCACAATGGGAATCAGACATGGCCTTGAACCAAAGCCCTTGGCTTCCAAATGCTCCTGGACAGGGACAGGGACTGGGACTGGGACTGGGACTGTCCATCAGAATGGGGACAGGGACACTTTCACCACTCAACAGTCTAATTTTTCTAATAAGAAAGCCTAAAAAATTCTGATCCAATTTTTGGCAGTTTTTTTCTGTCTCAAAGAGAATTTAGAGGGGTCCTAGTGAAGACAATTTCCACCTCTAAAGCAGACACTGCATTTTCTGCACACGAGGAAGGGGCTTTGACTCCTGATTTTGCCCGACCTGTGGCAGGAAGGGACTAAACACACATTCAATTTTAATTTCACCAAGACTGACTCTTACACATAATCATAATAATGATCTTGCTTTAATCTCTGCAGGTGTTTTCACCAGCTTGGCACCAAAGCAAGGGAGCTGCTGGCACAATCTGCAGGACATAAGCAGACGACAAAGCTCTGGTGTTGTGCAAAGCTGTAATTTCAGGGAGCTGAGCTGCATTCCTGCAACTGCTGCTGCAGAACTTCTGCAGCACAGCCACYAAGGGAATGGGATATTTAAATGCAGATTTTATGCAGAATAGCACCCAACATAGAGAATAAATACAATAAATAAAATATACTGTGGAGTCATAGCRTATAAACACAGAGGAAAATGTAAGTGAAAAAAAAAATAAAGTGAACTATATTTAATATTGATATTTAACCATGATAGTTCATTCCATAATTTGTCTGCTTACAGGGCTTGTTTTAACACCAGCAGGTTCAATTTTTCAGTARTAGAATGAGAAAAAGTTGTTSAAAAAGTTTCAATCAAAGATACAAYTGGGRCAATAAAACATYAACGAGTTATTCCTAGAAAAGAGAGAGAAGGGGAAAGGCAGAATGAGAGCGTGAAAGGGAAAGAGGRAARGAAGAGAGAGTTAGAGAAGAGRGAGAAAGAAACAGAGAAAATACATCAATTTTTAAAAAAAGTAAGAAGAGGAAATATTTTCACTTCAGACTATCTGCAGCAAGCTTGCTTTTGACTTTCATACTCTATTTAAAAATACAAAATTGGGAGCATTGAAAAAGAGTTCCCAAATTAGCTTTTTAATAGAAATGGGAAGTTAAAAGGGGCCGAGTCATGGGGGAAAAGCGATTCAGAATCACAGCCAGGGCAGCAGCAGAGAGCGAGGCCAGAGCACGCCCCAGAGAGAAGCAGGCAGCGAGTTTTATCAAGTGGTGACACTGTAAATCACAGAAAAATCTCTTCTACCAGCAAAAGCCAAATGACATTTCTGGTTCTGCTTTCTTCTTGAGCATCTGCAAGAGGGAAAGAGCAAGTGGAGATGTAGGGAGGGTTTAAAAGTGGAAAGTAGTTCTGAAGACATCTAATAAAGATGGATTCGGGCTGCTTTGATATGTTTAAATTCTTACAGCCACTGGAAGTTTCTCATMGAAGTTTGCACACAACTATTCGTGTGTCCAGCATGAAACTCTTAATGTCTGTAATCTAAAGATTATAACACACTGTGTTTGCATGAACTCATTAACTACTCTGCAGTCACTCTAATGCAGATTACAAATCTGATTGGGGCAGATGGGGTTTGGGGAGGATTACCCAGGGCTTGACTTTCAGAAATTAGCTCTATTTTTTTTTAAATTGCATTGAATTATCAGAAATTAGGCCCTGAAATGCATTGATTGGGTCAAGATTCAGTTGGATATTGGGAAAAAWTTCACYACTGAAAGAGYGATTAAGYAYTGGAACAGGGAACCCMGGGAARTGGGGGAGTCACCATCCCTGGAAGTGCTCAAAAAATGAGTGCATGTGGCACTTGTTGGTGTGTTTTAGTGGGCATGGTGGGCTTCAGTCCCAGGTGGGGCTTCATGATCTTGGAGGGCTCTTCCAACCTTAATAATTCCAWGATCAGGGTTCTGGTTTCATAGTTTCCAGCACCAGATCGTTGAAGTGTTGAAATGTTGAGGATTTTGATGTATTTCCCTATTTTTATTCGGGTTTTTCTCTTTAAGAAGGTCTTGGGTAAAGAGCTCTGGGAAGAAAGGCACCTGGAAAACGGCCCCCGGTCATTGCTGACTGTACCGAGTCCCTGTTTCCCTCATTTTACGGCACCAGAGGCCATCAGACCCCCCGACACACAGCCCTTGCTCACAGCGATGCACTGAAGGAGCTTCTCCTGCCCCTGCAGCCCCCGGACCTCCCTGCCCAACACAGCCCCCTCCTCCGGCTCTGCGGGAGTGGGACCCCCGTTCTGGGGGTGCTGTGGCCGCTGCAATGCCCTCTGACCCGGGGTGCCACACCCCGAACCCCCGCACGGCTCTCCGCTCCATCCCCGTGCCCGTGCCCGGCTCTTCCCCTCTCCATCCCCGGTGCCGCTCCCCGTTCCCTGTGCCCGGCTCTCCCCGTCACCGGCTCTCCCCTCTCCATCCCTGGGGTGCCTCGCCCCGCTCTCCGTCCCCAGCTCTCCCCTCTCCATCCCTGTCCCCAGCTCTCCCCTCTCCATCCCTGGGGTGCCTCGCCCCGCTCTCCATCCCCAGCTCTCCCCTCTCCATCCCCGCTCCCCGTCCCCGGCTCTCCCCTCTCCATCCCCGTTCCCCGCTCCCGTGGCTCTCTCCGGGTGACATCTGCCGGCGGCTCTGCGGGCGGGCGGCGGGCGGGGACGGGGCCGTGTTGGGGAGCCCCCGCCGCCCCCCGCCCGCGCCGCCGCCCCTCCGCTCGGAGCTGAGCCCGGCCGTGCCCATCGCCGCTCCGACAGCCCCGCGCCCATCTCTGCCCATCCCTGCCCATCTCTGTCCATCTGTGCCCATCCCTGTCCATCTCTGCCCATCGCTGCCCATCGCCGCTCCCCGCCGGCGCTGCCCATCCCTGCCCATCCCTGCTCATCTCTGCCCATCTCTGCCCATCTCTGCCCATCTCTGTCCATCTCTGTCCATCGCTGCCCATCGCTGCCCATCCCTGTCCATCGCTGCCCATCGCCGCTCCCCGCCGGCGCTGCCCATCCCTGCCCATCTCTCCCATCCCTGCTCATCTCTGTCCATCCCTGCCCATCTCTGCCCATCTCTGTCCATCTCTCCCATCTCTCCCATCTCTCCCATCTCTCCCCATCGCTGTCCATCTCTCCCATCGCTGCCCATCTCTGCCCATCTCTCCCATCTCTATCCAGCTCTGCCCATCTCTCCCATCGAGCTCTCCCCATCTCTCCCATCGCTGCCCATCGCTCTCCGCCGCCGCCCCGCGCCCGCGCACTCCCCTCCGCGCACTCCGCGCACTCCGCGCACTCCGCGCACTCCGCGCTCCGCTCCCGGCAGCCGCATGGCCGCGGAGGCTCCGGGCGGGCGGCCGGGGCCGGGAGCGCCCTGCGGAGGTGAGAGGGGGTCCGCGGGGAGGGCGGGGAGCTGAAAGGGACCGGTCCCGGGGGATGCGGGGGACACCGGCCCGGGGATGGGGGGGACACCGGCCCGGGGATGCGGGGCAGCCGGAGCCGGGGATTGGGGCAGCCGGAGCCGGGGATTGGGGCAGCCGGAGCCGGGGATGCGGGGGACACCGGCCCGGGGATGCGGGGCTGCCGGAGCCGGGGTTCGTTCACCCTTGGGCGGGGCGGGGACCCCCGGCCGCTCCCACCCCCGGCCCCTCGCCCCTCCCGCCGCTCTCGCCGCCGATCCCGCCGTGGCCGCGCAGCCCCCGCCGCCGCCGATAAAGTGCGGTTCCGATCGGCGCAGGGAGGAGAGGCAATGGCGAGGCAGCCGCGCTCCGCTCGCTCGTGTGCGTATCGTTCTTACTTTATGGAAGTCATCAACTATCGCTGCGGCGCATCAGTCACCGCCGGGAGCTGCCCAGAGCAGGGCAAGGCTGGCTCGCTCTGATTCGGGCTCTCGGTTATTTACTTAATGGAGATTCGACAGCGAACAGATAAATGAGCGAGGCTGCCGGGTTCTGAGCGTGCCGAGCCCAACTTGTGCCCGCGGATGAAAGAGGGATGCTGAGGTGGTGTGGAGACAGCACTGGTAAGAGCTGCCAAGGAGCAGAGCCAGAGCAGCAGGGCGAGGGGAACGGGGAGGAGATGGGGAGGAAGAAGGGAGAAGAAGATAGGGAAATGTCGGCTTCAGTCTGAATGATTTCTTTTGATTCCTGAGTGTAGCCTCCTGCCCTGGCTGAGGTGTTGGCTGTAGGTTTGTGATGCTGGAGGAACATTTCGTTTTCTTGTGCAGAAGGAATCCCTCCTGCCTTGTTCCCCCTGAACAGAGCCAGGAGAGCACACAGGGCGCTCCGGGAGACACCCGTGAAGTTCATCCCGTACTTTTCCCCCTCCATGTCCCCCTCGGCACATTAGCATGCAGGGTAGGCTSTGGTGTGTATTTAACGGCTCCATTTGGCAGGGTCTGTGCCAGCTCACACCGCCCTTCTCCCCCGCGCTCCCCGAGCAGCGGCTCCGGCTCCTGCCCGGCACATCCTGCGGGACCCGGGGCCGTTCCCAGCTGGGCTGGGCAGCGAGGCCAAAGCTCCGAGCGCTGCTCRAGGGGAGGGGGCAGAGCCAAGCGAGCTCAGGAGAGAGAGGCAGGGAGAGCTCCAGCGATGAGGGAGAAGCTGTTTAGTCATCTCGCTATATATACTTTCACAATGATGATCGCATTTACTGATTGCCTGTGACTGCGATCGCAGAGGGAGTCAAGAGGCAGGCAGCACAGCTCACCTTCCATCCTGAGCASTGCCTGCTCCCCTTTCCTTCCCGCTCCCCACATCCAGCCCGACTTTGGGGCACCGCGGGGCTCCCCTCGCCAGGTAAGGCAGCTCTTGAGCGGGCGCGGTGGGGCTCTCTGGGCTCCCTGCGAGCCAGGGAGGGCAGAAGTTTGCATGCATTTATCCCAAGCCTGTTGCTTTTGCTCCTAAATCTCCCCAACAGACCGAGGGAGTGAGTGGTTTGCAGAAAGTTTTATTTTCTGGTGTTGCTGCGAAGGGAAAGGAATGTGTGATGGACAGAAGATAGCTAGGCTGTGGCTGACACATTTTGCTTCAAAGCRAAGGTCTCTTTGCTGCCTGAGCCTGACCCAACAAGGACAGGAGAGGGAAAAAGGAATGATCTCCAGGCTCTTGACTCCCATTAGCCGTGTCTCATCAAGAAACTTGCAGCATGTTTACGGGTCCGATTTCAAACCGGCCCTGTCTGCTTCTAGAAAAGGAAACACTGGGATTTTTGTTTTGTCTCTGCTCTCATGATGATGATGATGAAGAGACATCGATAAGTGTGGCATTGCTGTGGGAGCTCAAGTGGTAAGAGCCCATCCTTTATTTCTCGACCCTTTCGGTGAACAGTCAGGACTGTTTTTTATTTTCCTCCGGAGCTCTCCTGACCCAGCCCTGGCTGTCAGGATTTCATTCCAAATCGGGATGGAGCCACGGAGAGGCTGCAATGGGGTCAGTGATGGTCGAGAGGGACCCAATGGGACCCCCCTGGCAGGGGGACAGCGGCTCATGCTCAGCCTTTTCTCTCCAATTCCCTTCACTGTTTCACTGTCCCCACAGCTATCTAAAGAAARCAGACTTTTCTCTACAGATACTTTTTTAAATCAGGAGGCAAATGATTCTATTTTGTGTACCAGGTCTTCTAAATGTCATCAGCAGGGTGCCGGTCTGCTGTGAACTAGTTCCTTTTAAATTACACGCAGAAATTATGGTAATTAAAATTAGAAATATGGATATAGCTAAATATATGCTTGTTAGAATTAAAGTGTGTCTGTTTTCTGTGAGAGCTCCAGAGACTGTCAACACTACATTAGATTTTGAGTCCAGCCAATTGCTGTGCAGCCTAAACAGACTGGTTAGCTGCTACCAAAATTCAAGCAGGCAGAAAAGGAGGATTCTTTCTACATTCTCAGGTGAACTGGTCAGTTCAGGKTTTTTTTGAGTCAGCTTAGATTGTGCAGTTCACAATGTTCAATCCAGTCCTCTCTCTCTCCTAATTTTCTTTCACTTTGGGAAGTGGTMGAGTTCCAAGGACTCATGCACAAGGAAAAACAAAACCTCTGCAACAGGGAATTTCATTACTCTTTTCACTCTCGGTCCTTCAGATATTTTAAAGTCAGAAAAGACTCCTCTTACATGTATTTTGAGGATCAAATGGGACTGATTCAATGCAACTTTGAAAATGAAGCTGCGTGTGCTCTGTTTTCTAGCGAGCTGCATCTCTTGGACCCAGAGAAATGGGAACTAAACTTCCACAGAATTCCCCTTTCTTTCTCTTTTGCTTTAATCTCCTGTCCCTTTCATAGCCAAGATATTTATAGCTTCCCCACATATACTGCCAGCATGAAAGGACTCATTTCATCTTTTAAAAATTGATTTAAAAATGTGTAAGTCACTTATGAGATACCGGTGCTTTATTGGAACAATTATATGTGAAGTATTTATAGTTCCTCAGCAGCTAATGTAGGTAACCTGGAATCCACAACCAAAGTTATGAAAGTACAGAAGAGATTTCTAACCAGGCTCCCCTGAGAAATCAGGGGAGATGAGGATCCAGTGTGCTGAAAGTGCTCAGGTCACCAGTCAGTGCTGGGAGCACTGGTGACGGTGCTGAGGGAAATTAAAACCCAGGGAGGACAGTTTGCCAGCAGGGAAAGCAGGAACAAAATGCCTTTTCTTGGTTTCTTTGTTATTTTCCTGTATATATTCGGTGACTAATGAGTGAAATYGTTCTTATTTTGCTGCCTCCTGTTCTTAAGCGTTTCATAAAAGTGAAAAGATTTGCACTGCTGGTAGAAGGCTGCAGCCTGAGCCCACTGAGCCCCTGGAGGTGCCTTTTCAGCTGAGGACTGGGGGAGCTGTTCAAAGTCATGCASAGAAAGTTTCAATGCTGAGCTCTGCCTCAGAGCCCCATCCCCAGGGCGGCCAGGCTGGCACGATTAATGCCATAAATCCCCTCTTTAGGGGACAGGAAAAGTGAAGCTTTGTCACATTGAACAATTCTTTAGAGGGAAATGTTGTGAGATGTTTGCTCCAGCGCCACGTAGATAAGCCAAGTGTCTCCTTGGGATAAGCATCACCRTGGATTATGATACGTTCCGTAATTACAAAAGCTCTTCCAGCAGCAGTGAGATGCTCGCAKGATGGATTTCAATTGTCCTTTAGATGCTAAAATTGCATAGAAAGATGCTCCACATTAAGGTGATGAATGTTAATTTGCCCTGAAGAGGAAGAGCATTTCTGTGAGCACTTCAGTCGTTTTCACCACAGATTGATTCCATCATTTTTTATTCAGTATTTTGATGGCCTGTTGGAATCAATAAAGCTGCAGCCTTACTGGCTGGAATGGCAGCTTTCATGTGAGTTAAAAACTTCTGASTAAAACGGCCCACAAAGATACAATTAAGCTTTGGGGACCTGAGTCAGTGGAATCAATGGAATTTCCATTGAAAAAWTGACTTTTGATAGGGCTCCTAATGCATCTCATATGATAATGGCACCTTTCTTCAGATAATCTCGTGGTAGAATTAGAAAAACATTAGGGAAGTGAAAGTAAATGCAAGTYAAAACCAAAGTTAAAGAACTCTGACCAAAGATCAAAAAAATAAAACAAATTCACGGCCAGATCAGAACACAAAAAATACCCAAACTTCAAGAGAATGTTGGCCCTCAGTGACTGAGGATCTGGACAAATTGGGATATTTTTCATCTAAAAATCCAATTGTGCAGTGAACAAATTTTGTTTCAATCTCAAACTCCTTCAGTTGTTCAGCTGAAGGACTCCTGCCCCTGTTAGCGAGGAAATAAGAGAARTATTTTCCTGCTGGAAAGAAATTCTGCACTTTGAAGCCTTCCTTCACTGTGATCTTGCTTGTACTCGGTATTTTAGTCCCTCAGCCTTCACACCTGGGATTGAAGCTGACTGGCATCTCAGGTATTCTGAACAATGTTTTCCCTAAAAAACAGAATTTTCCTCTGGTCCAGTGGAGGGCTGCAAAAATTCACCTCTAAACGAAAGAGAGCAGCAGGAAATTTGCTGAGGCCAGGTCTTGTGTTAAAGGTTGATTAAAACTGGTGTAAACCAGAGAAAAAATTTCTTTTCTTTCAACTGGAGTTGTTCTTAGTGCGATTAGGGTTAGGGGTAGGATTAGGATTAGGTTTATGGTTAGGGTTAGGGTTATGGTTAGGGGTAGAGTTAAGGGTAGGGGTAGGGGTAAGGTTAGGTTTAGGGTTAGGGTTAGGGTTATGGTTAGGGTTAAGTTTAGGTTTCAGAACTCACTGAATTTGTTTAGGACTGGAGGTGCACTAAGCCCAGCCTCGGGCTTTTGTTCCGTTTGATTCCACTGCAGGCTGATTTCACTGCAGTTCCCCGCTCCTTCTTGACAGCTGTAGTTAAACTGATGAGCACATGAGGCTTACACCTGGGGAATTATGGATTAGTCTTGTTTGTGAGGAAGCAAATATAAATTACCGTGTTTATGCTACTTTTAAAATGCTTTTAATGAGGAATCATTTACTATTCCAAATTTCAGTCTATAATAATGCCATAACCCCACTGAGCTGATTGTGGTGTTCCTTGTTTGATGTTGTTCTTCTCCTGGGAAGAGAGGCTGAGCCCATGGCTCTGAATTGTCGTGTCTGTGGTGATCCTGGACTGTCCATCCCCACGGGGCAGGACCCTGCGTGACCCTGTGCTGTGTTCTCTTCTCTCTGTGTTTTAGATGGAACTGGTGTGAGCCCCAGCAGGTCCCAGGAGCGCCCCGGAGCCATTCCCAGCCCTCAGCTCCAGTAACACCCCCGGGCTCACCATGGCAGCGGGAGTGGCGGCGTGGCTGCCCTTCGCCAGGGCCGCTGCCATAGGATGGATGCCCGTGGCCAACTGCCCCATGCCACTGGCCCCCACGGAGAAAAACAAGAGGCAGGATGAGCTGATCATCCTCAACGTGAGTGGCAGGCGTTTCCAGACCTGGAGGACTACACTGGAGAGGTACCCGGACACTCTCCTGGGCAGCACGGAGAAGGAGTTCTTCTTCAACGAAGACACCAAGGAGTACTTCTTCGACCGGGACCCCGAGGTGTTCAGGTGCATCCTCAATTTTTACAGAACTGGCAAGCTGCACTACCCCAGGTACGAGTGCATCTCCGCTTACGACGAAGAGCTGGCCTTCTACGGCATCCTGCCCGAAATCATCGGGGACTGCTGCTACGAAGAGTACAAGGACAGGAAGCGGGAGAACGCCGAGCGGCTGATGGACGACAACGACTCGGAGAACAACCAGGAGGGCTCCATGCCCTCGCTCAGCTTCCGGCAGACCATGTGGCGAGCCTTCGAGAACCCCCACACCAGCACCTTAGCCTTAGTCTTTTACTACGTCACCGGCTTCTTCATCGCCGTCTCGGTGATCACCAACGTGGTGGAGACGGTGCCGTGCGGCAGCGTGCCGGGGAACAAGGAGCTGCCGTGCGGGGAGCGCTACGCCGTGGCCTTCTTCTGCCTGGACACGGCGTGCGTGATGATCTTCACGGTGGAGTACCTGCTGAGACTGTTCGCGGCGCCCAGCCGCTACCGCTTCATCCGCAGCGTCATGAGCATCATCGACGTGGTGGCCATCATGCCCTACTACATCGGCCTGGTGATGACCAACAACGAGGACGTCAGCGGCGCCTTCGTCACCCTAAGGGTTTTCAGGGTTTTCAGGATTTTCAAGTTCTCGCGCCATTCCCAGGGCCTGAGAATCTTGGGCTACACTTTGAAGAGCTGTGCCTCCGAGCTTGGCTTTCTCCTCTTTTCCCTCACTATGGCAATCATCATCTTTGCAACTGTGATGTTTTATGCGGAGAAAGGGTCCTCGGCGAGCAAATTCACCAGTATTCCTGCTTCCTTTTGGTACACTATTGTAACCATGACAACGCTGGGGTGAGTATGACTTTTCCTTTTCCTGAGCAGCAGGCAAGCATGTACGGGGAGCTTGRCTTCAGCTTCTCCTCAGCATTTTCCCGGGTGCATGTTCGAGAAGGGGCTGGAAGTGTTGAGAGCGTGATTGTTCTTTGCCTTACAACTTGTGTGATTTGTGTGCGGTTGTATAAAGCAGAAAAAGCACTTACACCCACTTGACAAATGCTCAGCACCACGGTGAACGAGTGCAGGAGGAGCAGCAGGTCCTGGTTCGTTGCTGCAGGAGGGGAAAGCTGACACAAAGTGAGGGGYTGGGAGACAGAGCTCTGCTCTCTGACACTCCAGCGAGTGTTTTACATGGAGTTGATGTGTAAAAGATTGAAGTTGTTGATGTGTCTGATGGGTCTCGTTGCGGTGTCGGTCGTTGTTTCTTCACTTGACTCGCCAGGAACTGCAGATTTGCTGAATTCGAGTGGCTGTTGTGGGTCAGTGTACTGAAAACACTCGGTGATGGTCTGGACGTGATCTGGTTTTTAATTAATTGAGCAGGATAGGGGCTTCTTGTCCGTGTTTAGCTGTGAGTTTGAAAACAGCGTGTGCTGTGGTGGTTGCAGTAGAATTTCAAATATTCCCATGGACAGCTACAAAGACAATGAAATCAAAGCAAGGGGAATGTAGCCTGGAGGGCACTTTCCCCCTTACACTTCATTTCCATCTTACAGATGTTGAGACTGAGATTGTAGATTTGCATTTCTGCTGCTCTGAACTAAAACCTCTGCGGGCAGAATGGTCAAACCCTCACCCTGACAAGGTCACGTAAAGGGAATTGGGCATTGCTGCTGGGGCACACWCAAARCCAGGATAAAATGCAATCCCTTCATCTCACACATCAGAACAGTGCAGCAAGTTCAGAGTTACTTTGCAGAGAGTTTTCCCACCGGAGAGTTCCCACAGTTTAATATTCAGATGTAGACGATTTTCCTCCTTGTAATGCAGTGACCACTTTTTCTCTAAACCGCTTTTGATTTTAAACACTTCTCTGTGCCTATTAGACACGAGCAGGCTCACAGTAATAGTTTTAAATTATTAAAATCATAATTCAGCTGTCAGGAAGGCGCCGAATCTGGGCATATGACAACCGAAGGTCTGAATTTCTTCATTAAGTGCAAATGTAGAACCTGTTTGTCATAGTCACATAAAGATTTCTTATTCTTCTGTTTTAACATTTAAGCAAAGTTTGCAAGTTTATGGCAAAAGCTGTTCCTTAGCCTGGGAAAGTCAGGGTTTATTTAGAAATCAAAGCTGGGTGTTGCCTCCAGCACTGCCCCAGTGTGCAGCTCTCTTTTCCATGTTCTGACTGGTCCATAATGGTCTGTTCCCCCCTCCTGTCCCCACTGCTGTGTCAGATCAGCTCCAGAGGGACTCCTGCCTTGGGTGGCTCCTCCTGTGCCCTCTGCACACSGGGAGGTGTGTGAGAATCCATTCTATTTTCAGATTTCTGTTTAACAATGATCACACAGACCCACACCCATTCACACTGTGCTGTGACATCTCTGTGACTCGGGGACAGGGACACGTCCTGGGGTGGTTGGGAACAGCCCCAGCACGTGCAGAATGTTCTGGAGAGAGGCTGAGGCTCTGCTCCCACCGGGTCCATCCTTGGTTTGGGTCCCTTTCCCTCCCTTTCTGAGCACAGGGACAAACCTGAGCTCCCGAGGACCTCAGAGTGCTCCCAATTTATAATCACAGAAATCACASAGGAGCAAGTGCTGAAAAGAGCTGACATGGATTTCAGAAATCTGACATTTAAACACTGCGTGGTGAGTGTTCATTGGGAAGGAACCTATAAAATGCTGTCAAAATCTTAAACTTTTGGTTTGGCACTTTGTGTGATTTGGCACTTTGAGGTCATTTCCTGACTCCCACTGTGTGGGGTGGGGATTTACCCTCCTGGAGGAATTCACCACCCAGAGCTGACCCTCCTGAACCCCTTCATTTCCCCAAACATCCCTCCAGTTCAGGCAAACTGGCACTTTCAGGCAATATTTCATATCCATCTCTCTTCAGAAGTCATTCCAATCTGTTTGGAAGGATCTGGTTACTAATGAGAGTCCTGGCAGTTCCTCCTGCACAGAAATGCAGCCAAGGTCTCCAACGTGCTCCATCAGCTTCTCCTCAGAGCTGCCCACTTCACTGCTTGGATTTCAGAGCTTTTATCCAGATCTTAAATATTTCCTGCCTTTTGCCCTTAATAATTCAGTGTTTAAAACAAGGAACTCTAAAGAACAATTTGAGTGCATCACCGCCAATAATTCAAACTGAGAAAAGGGAAYGTTTCCCTGGTGCTGGAACCCCACCATGGCTTTAGAAGAATGATCTAAACTTGCAGGATGGCTTTTCCAATTACTGAGATCAGCTCCATTAGTGGAAAACAGAAGTTTACTCACAACAAACAAAGCAAWCCAACAGCAGGAGACCACGAACCCTCCCAGCCCCTGGGATACAATCGCTTTTCCAGACTGACCCATCAATAAAAAACAGTAAAAATGCATTTCTTCTTGAAGGTGAGGCACAGCATCAATAAATAACCCCTGATTGTGGTGGGGTCACCATCACCAATCACTTTGGAGCAGTTCAGGGTGGCTCTCAGGCTCCTTAGGTAGTTACCARCCCAGGGAGACAACAGGTACAACAGCTTTTCTGGAGTGGGAAACAAAGCAAAAGAATTCAATTATCCTGACCTGCATCTCCAATCCCTCTGCTGTGCTCATCAGCCCTGCTTTAGCAGAGGCTGTTTTTAATTTAACATGATTTAAATTTTGCTCAGGAGGCTTTATAATGAAAGCATTATTCTTGGGTGCATCTTAAATCAATCTGAATTACTGAAACAACTATTCAAAATTAATTCAGAATCAGCTATCCAATTCATGCAGAAACATTTTTCTCAAGAGGCCAAGAGCTCCCCATCTCCTCTCAAATGCCCCAGTGCCTGGTGCTCTGCCTTTGCCAGGCCCTTCCTGTGCCCTGCAGAGGTTTTGACCCCTGGGACCCTCAATTCAGGGGTGGAAATGCTGCCCAAAGCAGCAGAGGAGCAGTGCCAGTCCCATCCCTGTGCTGCCTTTCAGCTGACTCCATATGAAATCACTAAATAGAAATGGCTTCATTGCAGTGAATTTGTGCCTTTTTAMCRRCACTTTGTTTTCAYGGAATCACAGAATGGTTGGGGACAGAAGGGACCTTAAAGCTCACCAGATTSCARCCCATGGGCAGGGTCACCTTCCACCAGCCCAGGCTGCTCCAAAMCYCWCCCAATATTCAGTTTTATTCACCTTTAGGGAGCGAAATGGATGGGGAAGCCTCAGGTTGTGCTGCTGCTCAACACAAACGCGAGCTCTCTCTCACCCCACTAAACCCTACGCCAGTTTTGCCCAGAGAAAATGTTTTTCTGTGCTTTTTACAGCTGTTTTCATTCCATCTGACAGCAGCAGTATGTTTCAGACTCCTGGGCAGTGGCTCTGACCTGCAGCACAGGCATCAGATCGTAGCTGTGAAAGCCTGAGTGCCCACGGCGGGCACGGAGAGGCTCGGAGGGCACAGMSAGGTTGTCACTGTGCCAGGYTGTCACTGTGCCAGGYTGTCACTGTGCCAGGACAGGACAGGGGGAGCAGGGCCTCCCCACCCTCCCAACATCCCCCCAGACCCTCCCTTGGCCATTCCCCCTGTCCTGCCAGTCCAAGCCCATGGAAAACATCCTCCTCCAGCTCTCCTTTGGGCTCTGGAAGGTTGGATRTTCCTGGAGGGAACTGTCACCGAGACCTTTGGGTTATTTTTGTTGAGTTGGGTTTGTCCTTAGGGATGCCCTGGGTAGGGTTTTGTGCCCAAGCCGGGCTCAGCACCCTCAGGGTGCTCAGCAAAGCCATTTCTGTGTCCATCACAATGGGCAAGAACAGAAGCACTGCCCCTCCTTAACCTCGGCTCAATGGGTTTGAGACAGCTCAGTGCACTCGGACAACGCAGCCCCGTCTGTAGAATTCATTTAAGGAGCCAGGTTAAGGCTGGGGAGTCAATAAAACAGCCCTGCTGGCCTGGTTGTGTCAACAGGCTGATCTGGAGCAAGAGCTGAAATGTCCTCGAGGGTTTGCAGAGGGCATTTGGGGCAGGGGCTGCTTTGGTTTGTGTGGGCTCAGCTTTGCCTCTGCCAAACGTTGATCAGAGAGAACAGGAGCCAACAGGTGCCTGAGCAACCGGCCTGAAAG